CCAGCCTTTTAGAGAGAGAGAGAGAGAGAGAGAGAGAGAGAGAGAGAGAGAGAGAGAGAGAGAGAGAGAGAAATTCGCTTTATTTTGAAACTATAAATTCAAAATTTTCAGCAAAAAATGGACTACATTCACTACGGGCAGCAAATATGTTAATAGATTACTCGAGAGTCAGCCTATTTAACACAAAAAGAATGATTACTATGAGAACAGTTCAAGTCTTGGCTTCTGTACTTCCATCTCTTCACACGTCAGATAGGGCGTCAGGAATGCCAATACAGAATCTCGATATGCCGATTTGCGACAAGACATAAGCCGGAAGCCGTGGCACATCGGGCGTGAAGACTTCGCAGAAAAAAGAGCAGAATGCAAGCGTTGTGCTGCGCCATCCAGAATTAGACCAGCAAATTTCTTGACCGTTTTAAAATGTCGTCGTATGATAGTATCGACTAAAAAGACATAAGAAACACTGGCGGCAGAAGGGAGCATTCGGTGGACTCGTTTTAAAATGAACTGATATTTTGTAAGCAATGCTGGAAAACTGACAGGAGAGCAAAATAGAATAAGAGGCAGGATGCAGGCATCTATGAATCGTCATATTACGGATTGACTTGCGTGGTAGGAATGTAAACAACGAACTTTAGTAGATAGGGTCTCAATATGGAGGGGAAATGAAAGATTTGATGACAAAGTAAAGCCAAGGTACCTGAAAGAGGAGACCTCGTTAGGAAGGATGTCAAAGGAGTCAGGACTAGGAGATGGCTGCAGTCGGAAAATACGCTGGACTGATTTTTGTTTGTTCATTAAGAGACTATTTTCCTCCGACAATACTAGGACATGGTCAAGTGCATCCTTCAGAGACCGGAGACGTGTCCGGGTTTTGAGAGGGTGTCCAGCAACCACATCATCAGCATACTCACTGTACGCCAGTCGTCAGCATTAGGGCAAGGGAATTTGCCAACGCCAGTATTAGGGTTGCGATTGCGCTAGATTCCATGAGGAGGAACAGGGGAATCGGTATCCTCCCTGAAACTAACACTTTGCCATCTGTAACGTGGATGAGGGCGGGGGGAGGTGGAGGGGTGTGCCTATTCCCGTGTCCCAACTCTCAAAAGTACAGATTTGGTCTGAAATGTAGTGCCTATTGTCGACAGTGCCCTTGGCGTCAACCTCCCTGCATATCAGAAGGCATCTTGCTGGTCACTGCTGAGCATGCGCACGAGTACACCCTCATCACTGTTGAAGCAACGGAAGTTCTAGGAATTCAATGCTAACTTTGGCAACGCCAATTGCGATTCACGTGAAATGCTTCCACAGCTGTATGGCCGAAAGGCGTCCTACATAACCAGCATGCCTGGTCGCCGAAACCCTTTGTCCGATAGGTATTACATGTCTGCATATACGATTCGTTCCACAAGGAGAAATTAATGGAGCATGAGGCGCATGCTTCAGACTGAATAGAAGCGATGGTCGAATTATTTGTGAAAGCGAATAAATGTCTTTTGTGCCACAATAGTATTTGCCTGATAAGTCGAGCTCTTCCATTTCTAAGTAGAACTGTTCAACCTAGACACAAATGGGCATCCGTTTTGACCCAATCTCTTTTGAGTACTTTTCACTCAACCTGCTCGTCACTAGCTGCCTTCTTGAGGGAACGAATCTGGCAGTAGAAATGAACCCTGCGCCTGCCGTCTCTTCATCAAGCTAGATTCCATACAGCATCAAACATGAATTTCAGCGTTCACTAAAATTCATTGAGCAACTAAAAGGACTTCGCTCAGACTAAAACCTCATGTTAGTCGAATGCGTGCGGCGCACATGACTTGGCCCTGATTTGGCGACAGCCTCACGCGTCAACTGACGTGACACGGTCACGTGCTGATCGATTGCTGGCGGACACACGCACGCACACGCGCATGTGCGCACTCGAGGCACTTGCGTCGGGGCCATCAGTCTCGACGACTGGTGCTCGGCACGCCGAAACAATTGCTGGTCCCTACGCCTTGGCGCAGATGGTGGTGGATCCTGACAGACGGGTGCTCCTCGTTGGCACCAATATTTGATCTACGTGGTCACCCCTGTGGCCAATCAGAAAGGATGGCAAAGGTGTGTCGTTGTTGTTGTTGACCTTGAACGAAGTCCTCCCATGTCTGCAGACACGTCAGGCGTCATCTACCGCGTCAAATGTCTAGACTGTCTGGCCAACTACTGTGGCATGACGGACAAACGACTACGCACGCGCGTGCATGAGCACGCCCTAGCCGTAAAGCGAAAGGATGTACGCTCGCACGTCGCCATGCCCTGTCTAGAAAATAATCACGTGTTCGACTTTGACGGCACCCAAGTGCTCGGCCGAGCCGAAAGCAAGCTGGCGAGAGAAGTAATCGAAGCCTTGCAATCAGACGCCAAATCGATTAACCGCAGTATTGACCTACCAGCGCCATACGAGGCCATCAGGCACCACTTGCGCGCGAGAAGAGGGCCAATAAGAGGAGAGCGTGATCGACCTATCAGGCGTGAGCGCGAATGGCCTATTTAAACCATGTATTTCTCATTTGGCCTGTCTCCGATGATGTGCTCGAGTATGAGTGCGAAACGTCAGACGATTAAATCTTCCTCCCCAGAGAACGCCTTATCTCCTGTCCCCCGTCTTCGCCCATGCACTCGAGTACGACCACTGATTCAATTGGGATGGCACTGAGGTCGTCGCCATGGCTAACACAAAGCGAGCGAGGGAATTTCTCGAGGCTTGGTACTCCGATGCGGGTAGTATCAACCGCCACGTTGATTTAGATGCCCATTACGAGGGTATACGTTCACGAATGACTGCCGCCTGCCCTAATCACGCATCAACGACCGCGAATACAGCCGCCCGCATTCCAACTGATTCACCACCCGCCCTCCCCCTCCAGCACGGTGTGCCGTAATTGTTCCGCCTCCTCTCCCTTTCCCCGCCCCTCACTCAGTGACCTACCATGACCTCGGGAGCCCACCCCCCCCCTCACACGTCAGTGGTCTGTTCTGTCCTATCACACCAACTGGTCTACTGTGACAACATAACTTTCTCCTTGTTTTCATTTCGTCTGACGACGGGTTGGAGTCACCAGCTCGAAAATTCACGAGTACAACTCGATTTTTTCCGAAGAACCTCTTCTACTTTTCATATACATATATATTTAATTATGACAGTGGGCGCTCGCCGATCAGATTACGGAACATGCTCGTTCCGTTGTGCCTTGGGGCTCATACTAGAACCCTCGCAGGCAGTCGCACAGCGACTAGTAGTAGACATAGATGAGATGGAGCCGACAAGGACAAGGGAGACCAGAATGGCCATTTCTGGCTTAATAGCCGTCATCAGCCAGTCATACCCAAACCCAAGTGTGGATCACTTGACAGGACAACGGGCCCGTGGCTCAATGGTAGAGCGTCAAACTCCATGTGACCCATAGTGCAACTCGGCTGCCGTCTAACGTGTGTTAGCAGCCCTACTCTGGCAAACGCTGTTTACCCTAGGAATGGAGATAAATTAAAAAGTGTGCCCTTGATGATGGCGATAAATTGACTGTCCGCAAGTTGATTGTGTGTCTTGGAGTCCAAACCCCTGATGAGACAACAAGCCTCGTTAGCACATCGCCACCCTTACTTCCTATGCGTTCACTCTGACAGCCCTGGTCGTCCTTTCATTTTGAGGCATCGCCATATCGCCATCGGAGCAAAATGGGTGTCGCACCGACAGTCTGCAAAATCGTTGGCCACAGGACGGACGTCGTCAAATCCAGCAAGACACGTTCACTTACACTCAGGCAGCACAGCGGCAGCAGACGACCTCTGGAACGCTTTATCGCCCACGAAATCATACCTACATATCTGCAACGATCTTGGCTATATAATGAGTAGTCCAAATTGTCCCTCTAATTTCTCAAGCTCGTGTAGGCGCAAGCCAGTCACTAGAGGTACACAAAGAACCGGCGCCAATCATCTCGTTGAGCCGAAGTTGTGACCCATTGTGCAAGAAATAAAGGCTAATGCATGCAGTCTATATTCCGCCATGCACATGATCAAATAGTCAGTTGTAGTAGTTGGTGCGCACCTGTTCGCATGAGGAGGATCACGGAAAGTGCTCACAGCTCTCCACATGCACCAATAAGGGAACGGGCACAGTGGTGCAGAGGTTGGACGCCGAAGCAACTAGACCCGCAGCTCTAGGGTAGTGTATCACCAGAAGATAGTCGATGAAAATCAGCGGACGCCGAAGCAACTAGACCCGCAGCTCTAGGGTAGTGTATCACCAGAAGATAGTCGATGAAAATCAGCGTACGGTACGTACTGACTGCAATCATGACCCGCCCCTACTATAAGCATCACAATATAACTTCGTCATCTCTTACATCCAGGGATCTCGTGCAATGGTTCAGGAAAACTGGTGTCCACTCCATCTTTTTCGCACCAATCTATAAGTGTATGCAAAAGTCACGGGGTAGAGTTCCAAGCCCTTTGCGTAGCACATTCTAACAGTCAGCATAGCAGTCCAGCCTATCATTCAACACGCATCACGCTGATAGCGTGAACAGCAAGGGAGGTTCATTCTTTTCGAAAGGTCTCGGATCGCCTGCTCCAGTGCTCAGGGCGATTATGCCGGCAGTATTCACCCCACCCCCTTCCATCGTCCCTCTTCCACACGCCCACACACAGTATTACACTTATCCGCCACTCGGAATGAACGACAACAATCGCCGCGTCGGATCTCATTTCCTTGCCCTACCTAAAGTAGACATACCCCAGCCTAACCCCTAACCTCTAACCCCAAGCCCAACTCCAATCCCCAATCCTAACCCTGACCACCAACCTTAACCCCAAACCTCTAACCCCAAATCCAACGCCCAACCTTACCCCCTAACCATGACACCTAACCACAGTTCCTAACCCTAACCTCTAACAGGTACGGCTACCAAAAAGGATCTCCCTAATCTCCGAGATACTTTGCGGTGAATCATTTTATTTTAGTGAATAGATTTAAGAATAAAGTTTTCGACACAGGACTGAAAGAAATCAGCATGCAACTTGTGTGGCAGCTGCCAGCCAGCCTTCTGATTCGCGTCAGACCTGGCGGGCCAGAGGGTTGAACAGCAGCCCGAACAGGCGAGGAGAGCCGATTCAGTCGATTGGCTGTTGGCATTTTGGTGTCGCCTTGACTCAGAGTGTCGGGATGCAATGTGCAGTAGTGGCATCCCGAGGAGACGCTGCGGCAGGCAGCGGAGATCGGCAGGACCCATACGTCGCATCTCTTTCGTCTCAACGTAGGCAGGCCAACTATCCCGCATGTACGCTCTACCATAGACAGCCTGCAGCGGAAGACGACGGCTGTCTGGCAAGAAGTCCACCGAACCGGGGGTGCCTCCCATAATCTGACCACCATTCCCCGATCCGTCCTCTGCGCCAATATCCTCCTCCAGCTCCCAGACCACCAGGCCCTCAATCGAGCCTGAATGCATGAATTAAGCTTCCTTCGTATGTCGGCGTACAATAAGCAGGTAGCAAATGGAAAAGACTTGACGGTAGCACGCTGATCACACACACACCCACACACACACGAAATAATAATGATAGCATTTCCCATCATTCCGCTTTCATGTTCAGGCAAAATTAATTGTCTAGGAGGGCATTCAGTGACCCATTGAAGTGAAAAATCGGTAGACAGGAGAAATCCCTTAAAATGTGGTAATTTGTGGAGGTATTTGGAATACTGGCCGAGTAGGTAAAATAGAGGAACTGGTGTTGAAACTGGAGCATTCCTTACTAAAATAAAACTGGCACACTTAAATGTGCCATGACGAACTAGGAGTGGTAGCTTGACGGGGCACCTCGGTACTTCCCAGAACGGAAGGTCAGGCTGAAAGGGCTGTTTTTTGATGTGTCCTTTCAGATTTTCCCAGTAGTCTGAGGTAAATTTGAACTAGTTTGGTTGCATTCACCGCGCTGTGTGCGTGTGTGTGTGTCTAAGGAGTACAGGTAATCAAATCATGAGGCCAGGCAACTGGCCATTTGACAGTGTCTACAATATGCGCATTCTAGAACAACAAATAAGCAAATGCGCCACCAGCAGCAGCAGCAGCAGAGTGAGCCACTTAAAATGTGACTGACCGTCCATATTCAACTCCGATGCTGCTCGGATGGCTGACAGGGCGCCCTCTGACCAGCCGATGCAGGAGAAGGGCAGATGACCCAGCTGGCGCATCAAATTCACGCCAACTCTGGCATCCTGCAGCAGAACCTCGGGATCACTCCAATCGCGGACGGGGGGAGTGCTGAAACCGCAGCCCGGCGGATCGAAGGCTATCGCGGTAAACCTAAAGCGGGGAGGGGGGGAAGGCGGACAGAAGTACATTTGAGAGGTGGAGTGATTGTTCATCACAGACGGTACGACTACTCTACACATGTGTTTGTGTGTCCTCCAAACGAGCCACGCGTTTGATGCGCTGGACCAACACGGGAGCCATATTGGATTCTGGCAGGCGTTATCGGATCGCACACTATAACAAATGCCAACACTTTCGGGGTGCGTTGGCAGACCCTGTTGTCGGCAGTCGTCGCACAACTGGACCACTGCCGTCACCCCATTGTTTTGTGGTCAAAATCCTGGTCATTTGTTTTGTGGACCTGGGGGTGCGGAGTGAAGCGCCAAGGTGAGGATCCGTCCAAGCCATCCACCTGCGGCCTCCCTCGTCTCCGGTCTTCTTCACTTCGTCTTGACACCGGGCTCATGTGGGGGAGGAGGAGAGTGTAGGTAGATGCTACGGAAGTCTACTGGCACTATAAACCCCTGCGCAAGTCACCGTCCCTGCTCCCACCGCTGCTGCAGCTGTGGGGCACGCGGTGGACATCGTCGAAATCGACGGTGGAACTGTTGTGTGTGTGTGTGTTTTTTGTGACTGCTTATTACTCGCAAACCGACACCAATGCATGGATCCTAGGTCTATATTAATCAAAGATAATGGTAGATTGCTTAGGAATTCTGATTTTTAGAAAAGCAGAAAATTCCGAAAAAGTCAAAGATGGTTGCAATCGTGTGAAATCCACTTTTAGACGTACGGGATGGCTGTCCATACAAAAAACGAGTAAATTAGACAGGACAAGAAGAATTACGTTTGAAAATTGTCCTTTAGAGAAATTTACATTTAAATATCCCTTATGAATTAGTGTAATGTCAGATATGGCGGGTTCCCCGAGAAGTCGTGACGCTTTTCCATTTATTCAGACGCGGTTCAATAAGACAAAGAGGATTTCGCTTGAATTCGCCAAGGGGGAAGCCATGGGAATTAAATTTTCCATATGAGAACATGTTGCCAGGACTTTCCGTCCGTAAAGCTAATTCGGACGTTATGTTTGTTCTAGAAAACGCCGAATTTCAGATCCGCCTTGACACATCGCTGCATATCTTGAGATTTTCAGTGTTTTCGATGGGTTGCATATAAAGCTTTATATATAGAAGAAGACGGAAAGGCGATCGCTGGGACCAGTGGTTTATTTGTCCGACGTTTCGAACTCTCACGCGAGCCCATCGTCAAGGAATGAAAATACTGTACAACTCATCGGATATTTAGCTCATCTCTGCCGGGAATGACCTCCAGCTGCGCTGCTGATTTGTTCACGCAGTGCTTGATAAGCGATTGGCAGATCGATATGTCTATTGATCGCTTTATATATACACATAACACAGAGTCCGTCTAGACAGAATCTGTGTTATGTGCTTACTGAAACCGTTGAAATAAAACACCTCTTGCGCGTCGTTTGAAACGAGGTTCGAAATTTTAAGTCTTCCGAGCTACGAAGTTTTCGTCTCTACTTCAGTGTTGGGAGCACGCCAGTCTAAAATAATTCACGCGTGGATTGTTATTCTCTGATTCCCGGAATTCTCTACTCGGAAGTCACGACTAATCGCCAAATAATTCTTTGGCGACAAAGGCTGATTCGCAGGACGCGGACTTCAGCCATTCCTCATTTCTGCTGTTTGTGAGCCAAAAAACTCGGATTATCCTGCCATCAAAACATCTGGAACAACTCCCGCATAGGCTGAGTTACTCTTCTAATCTTATTCGTTGAATGCATCATATTTCGAACGTACTCGATAAAGTCCTAGAATTAAACAGCTGCTTCCTGTATTTGCTCGACGATCCTCTTTAAGACGAAGATATTCACCTTACACTGTGACTCTCAACGACCAGAACGACGCCAAAGGCTTTCCGTCTCGCATATAAGGCAAAAGTCTCACCCGATCGTTTTTTCTTGTTGGGTATACTAAAGTAGCACAGAATGTCGAACTCCGAAGTAGTACAAAATAGCGAGCACTGTGGAGTCGGACCCGGGACCACACTGGCACAAGATTGCGACGCAGACCCCCCGCCCCGCGCGCGCTATCGCCGCACGCCAGGGCGGTCGCTCTAAAAGCCTTTCAAACTGGTTAAGACCGACGCATGCGGGAACCTATTGCAGCGGTTGTCAAACGCTAGCCTCAAAGTTAAATCAACTAGAGGAAGAAGTTAGGAACATGAAGAATTTTATCCAGCAGACCTTCATGACAGAGGATAAGTTGGCAGCATCGACGCACAGGGTAACGAGGGGTAGAGCGCGAGACACCCTGCATAAGCAGTATCGGACCCCAGTTATCAGTGGTGACGTGAAACCTCTAAAATCAGTAAAGAATGAGAAAAAGGCGACAGAAAAGACTATGAAGAAAGGACGCAAAAATCCAAAGGCGATGGTTTCAGACTCGCCAGAAAGGAAACCGAGGGCCAAGCGTGAAACTGATAAAGATGGACCGACGAAAGAGGAAAACAGTCCCCAGACGGTATGCGCATCTCCCGAGCCTAATGTGAGGGGAGCAGCATCGACCAACGCAAGACCGAATAAAAATGAACCCAGAATGGGAGTAGAAGTACATACTCTCACGAATATTCATGCAACTAGCGTTGGAGCACACATTGGGGAAGCCTCACCATCGGTCAGACCAATTCGTCGGATGGAGGTGCTGTGGACAGATTACAATGCATAGTCGTCCATGGACTTCGTGAATCAACCAACAATAACCCCAGATGTGGGATAAATTATGATATCATGACCGTGCAGGAGTGTCTGGGTAGCATAATAAAAGAAAATGAAGCAATTAAGATTCTGAAACTTTTCCGACTAAACAGTAAAAATAGCGCGAGCTCTCAAGGCAGGAAACCAAGACCTTTAAAGATAATTTTAGAAAGTAAACTCCAGAGGGATCTTCTACTTGAACGAATACTAGGGGGGATCCCTGGCCATAGAGGTCTTTTTTTCAATCGGATTACTCAGTACAAGAGAGAATGAAATGGAGGGCGCTGATGGCGGAGCTGGCGACCTTGAAAGAACAAGGAGAGAAGGGACTAGTAATAATGAACGGAGTGATTGTTCGACGACAAAAACCCCTCCTGTGGAGGACGTCTGTCATACTGGACGAAGGCCATACGTTAGGGCAACTAATTCGAAGCAATAACCTACATAAAATTAAGTCCTTCTACGGAAATCTACAAAGCCTCTTGAACAAACTCGACGAACGTAAAATAATTGTGGCCGAACTATGTCCTGATGTTATTGCATTAACTGAAACGTGGCTCACCCCAGATGTCACAGACCCCCAAATACAGTTAGATGGTTATCAAGTGCTAAGACGAGACCGAACCGAAAAGCGAGGTGGCGGAATTGCCCTATATATCAGCAATGCGGTCGAATATAACCCTGTTGAAGAATGTGTGAATGCGCATGATCTGGAGATGCTGCTGTGTCATTTGCTGCTCGCAAAAGCCGAAAACGTTACTGTCACCGTTGTATATAGGCCTCCCAATCAACCTGCCGACGAAGATCAAGCGTTAATCACTCGACTCCGCGAGGACAGTCGAAAGAAAAACATTATTATCGTAGGAGATTTCAATGCTCCGCGGATTAACTGGGACCTTATGACAGTTAAGGTCCACAGACAAGGATTCGACCAAATGCTATTAGACATGGCATTTGACGAATTTCTGTTTCAACATGAACCAACTGTGACTCGGATGCGTGAAGGTCGGAGGGCTAGTTGCCTAGACCTACTGTTTACCAAGAACGAGGAATGCCTTGATGAAATAAATGTAGGCCCACCCCTAGGTTCTTGTGATCACATGACATTAGTGTGAGAGTCGACACTTGTAGCTGTCCCCTAACGAAACTCAAAGTCGTTAAGAAATGTCTGGCGGGGTAACTTTGAGGCAATGAAATCAGAGATTGAACTCACACTATGGACGGAGGCATTATGAGGAGATGTCAATGAATGCTGGACAACCTTCGAATCAACTATGAGAGACTTGATTGAACGATACTGTCCCCTCAAGAAACATCCAACCGGAAACAAACCGAAATGGCTGACAACATAGGTTAAGAAGGACATCCGAAAAAAACGCAAGTTGTGCAAAATTTTTTACAAACGGAGCACCCAAAAAACTTCAGGAATTCAGACAACAACGAACCTTACGCAAATGACTTATCCGAGATGTACGAGCTTCTTATGAACTAAAGCTCCTGGAAGAGGCGCAGCAAAAACCTAAAGCATTCTATGCATATATCGGGAGCAATACGAAAAACCGAGACCATCTGGCAACCTTAAAGGACAAAAATAACCAAATTGTGAGCGATAGCTTTCAAAATGCCGAGCTTCTTTCCGAGTTTTTCCAAAGTATCTACACCGCGGAACCACCCCACCAGTCCTATTCTCTTCCACAGCTCGCCAACCAACCACTAATAAGCACAGTATTTTTTACACCGCAGTTAGTTTTATCAGAGTTAAATAAGCTGGATCCGGCCAAGTCACCTGGACCAGATGAGATCTCAGGTGTACTCCTGCGTCAGCTAGCTGAAGAATAAGCAGAACCACTTTCTATAATCTTCCAAAAATCGCTGGAAGCTGGCAAACTACCTGACACATGGAAGTTGGCAAACATCGTACCTATCCACAAGGGAGGATCACGGCTATGTCCCACCAATTACCGACCGGTGAGTCTGACATGCATTTGTTGCAAACTTATGGAAAAGTTAGTTAAAAAATCAATTACATCACTCGATACATTCCGCTGTCATATCACTTCAGTCCAACATGGCTTCTGCGAAAAGAGTTCCTGCTTCACAAACCTGCTTACGTCACTCGAACATTGGTCAAAGGCCTTGGATGAATGACATCCAGTAGATGTCATTTACTTCGACTTCAGCAAGGCGTTTGATTGCGTCCCACATAAGCGCCTCGATCAAAAGTTGTCCGAAGTAGGGATAAGAGGAAATCTTCTGAACTGGATTCAAGAGTTCCTAAACGGTCGTAGACAAATAGTCACTGCGAGCGGCTACTGCTCAGAATGGGCACCTGTTACAAGTGGAGTCTCACAGGGGTCAGTTCTTGGGCGCTCCTATTCATTATCTATGTAAATGACCTAGTACAGGAAGTGAAATCGGACATCGCGCTCTTTGCAGACGATCTTAAAAGATAAAAGATGAAGATGACGTCAAGATACTACAAGAGGACATAGATAATTTGCACGCATGGGGCGATAAATGGTGCATGAAATTCAACGTCACAATATGTGCAGTAATGCCCGTGGTATCAGCGAGGCGAAGAACAAATGCACCCTCACGACAGTATATCCTGGACAATCAACCACTTCAAACCGTAGATGTGCAAAATGATCTCGGTGTATTCATTAAAGACGATCTAAGCGTCACCACACGGCGTTCTAAAGCCGCTGCGCGGGCAATGTCAGTGATGAGCGCGATACGCAGAACGTTTATTCACTTGAATACAGATGTCTTTGGCAAAGTATACGGGACATTTGTGCGGCCGCAACTGGAATATGAGTACAGGCTTGGCGGCCGTGGCTTCGGAAGGATATAGATATCCTTGAAGGTGTACAACGGCGTGCTACAAAGGCAGTTCCTGGCCTCAAACATTTCACGTACGAGCAGCGCCTGACAGCCTTGAACCTCTATCCCCTCCACTACAGGCAGGACAGTGGTGACCTCATAGCAACGTTCGAGTTGGTAAGAGGACTTAATCTGGATGCCGACTGGGAAACGTTTTTTGAAATGGCACCCAAGTCTTATCTCAGACGACATGATTACCAGCTTTAAAGGGAACTGGGCCACACAAATCAACGTTCCTCCTTTTTCTCACAGAGGGTCATTCACCAATGGAACTCTCTGTCGGAGTATGTTGTTAATTCCCCTACCATGAACGTGTTCAAGAGTCAACTGGATACTCACCTGCTGTTAGGCAACCCGAACTACAGACGGATTACAGAAATGACTATAAATATACTATTAACATGATTTCAACAGATCCTTTTTGTGCGTCAAACCTAACCCATATGGAAATTTTCACAGTCCGAATGCGGTGAACAAAGTTCTTCGCAATTATTTCGCGAATACCATACCCCTTTCGCATTTGCGTTCCTTTATTAGACTTACGAATTCTCCTTACTGAAACTGCAAGCAACAGTTTTGCAATTTAACTATTTTCCCTTACATCTGTACCCTCTAAATGGAGTTTTCATGGCCTCTGTCGTTTACTACAAATATACTGACTTACTGAAGATATTTAGCGAAGTAGTGAATGTTTAAACGTTCCTTCCCATGAGACTTCGTCCTTCATAAAAATTAACTTCCACAACAAAAATTAACAAAGAACATGCTTTCGATCACTTAGAACACGTTCTCTACTAAGTTACCCATTTAGGGGGGAGTGTCTTAATAATGCATTCCGTTGACAGACGTTTGTGCACTTTCAGTTTATGCACGATGAGAGCAAGAAAAAACTGGCACTGTTGGCCGTTCCTTTCACGTTTCTAAAAAGGAAAGGATGCTGATATTTATTTACCGCAAACGTAAGAACATGTCATTGGCCTGATATTGCGGTGACTTTTCTTATCATTGCTCACATTCCGGATCCGTTCTACGAGTATGAATGCACGACAGAGTATCCATACAAGTACTGCTATTTTTCTCGTTCCATTTCTAAATTACGTATGCGCAGAAACTAGACCGCTCGACAATCAATATTTCATATGTTCCAAACTGAACGTGACTATTCGGTGAGAGTCATTTTGGTGTCAAAACATAGAGTTCATCAAATGACAAAACAATGTCGGCCCTTTTAAACAACCAATTCCCCCTATGCATCATTACTGCACTTTAGGGGACGAAAACGCACAGACCTGCTAATCTGACCTTTGAAAATCGATAAAATGTTTGGCTCTCTAAAAATAACCCCAGTGACAGCAAACTGATTCCCATAGCTAGAATCGGACAAAAAATCACTTTTCAAGTGTGCCAACCTCTCTCACTAGTAAAACTCTCCTGGGTAAATTAATTCCCTTTGAAAGAAAGGACTTTGTCTGCAAGAATTCATGTGCCAGTTGTGATGCCGTCTATTGAGGCCAAATTGGGAAATCTGTCTGAAACCCTATAGATGAACGTCAGTTAGCGGTGATGAGGAGTGGGGGGCCATCTTGCCCATGGGAGAACACTCTTATAATTTTCACCCATCTACCAATAAGGCTACGCCGTGAATCCCTGGAAGTAATTCAATCAACTGTGCCCTGCATCAATCGGCATCTCGGTTTAGATGCCACTCACAAATTCCTCAGGGACAAATGAAAGCCAGTGTAGCCAATGTCGAGGGCATGAAGAAATGCAATTGACGTGCAATGGCGCAAGCTTCAGCCAACTGCAGAATATCTTCTTCAACAGGGTTAAAGGGTGAACTGTTTTTGTGTGTGTCCCATAAGTCTGACAACGAGCTGGGGAACCCGTATCGAAAATGTGTGCGCAATAAGGGTAATTTTGTTCCCAGATAATCTCGCCTACTGTAAACGAAGATGTTCTCATGGGCCATGTGCAGTCAACACAGACGTTGACGTTTCTCCTTCCTTGCGTGTGTATATGTTCATGCTGAAGAAGTCATTTGAGGAAACAACAAACCCTGTTTCGGATATTTTAAAACTTATTACCCTAGGTCGTCGTCCTCAACAAAAGAGCGAGCCGGCAAACATTTTTAAACGCGACATCCGAGAACCTCTGCAGACCACACACACACATGCATGTATAGGTTCCTAGGGCAAGTAATGAATCTTGTTCCGCAAACTGTCGTTGCAAAGTAGGCAAAACAGTTCACTCTCTAAACGTGACTTAAAGTCAACGATTTCCTAACGAGCGCATCAATGAGGGGTCTGTGTATGCTCTTTGAATTGGTTGCCGTCACTTCCGCTTCTTCTCAACATTTTTCTACGGCGCTTCCACAACTCAATATGCCGCTTCATGTAAGAGTCATTCGACTGACCTCCATAGTAGACTTGTGTCCGATATCCAGTGCATGTATGGCTAATCGAGACGGAGGGTCTCCCTTCCGTACCCTTCATTGATGATCATAAATTTGTGTGTGTAGTGGCCGATTTGCTAGTTTCGTCAGAGCATCCTGAATCGCAGACAGAACAATGACTATTGTATACGAATTCACGCTTACCTAACTGGTCTACCCAATCCTGAGGGTGTACCAACAGTGTACGCATTGTAGTTGTCGACTAGTGGGCCACTTCTATATGGTGTATCCTCGTGCGACATTCTACAACGTCTATCTAGGTATATATCTACACCAGTTGGTAAAAAACGCAGTGCCAAGCCGCCCCAGGGAACGTACTCATTTCTGTTAAGACGCTGTAGGAAGTCCATGTAATCAGTTCTGACGCAGCCGAATGGACCGGGAAATAGGAGGATATTGTTTGATCCTAGGCCCTGGCGAAGATAGTGTATCCTGGTGGAAAAAACCTCCTCGTAGGCACCAAACAGGTGGGTGATGTGGTGATCCCTGTTGCCAATTGGAGAGGAGGGAGGTAATGCGTCGTTGCCGAAACCGCTGACGAAAGGACGCAGTAATCGATCACAGACGAGCAGTCCTTGGCGTCCATTAATAGGATTGGGCTTAAACATGCCCTTTCTACAATGATTCCGATAGGAGAAGATGCAGTTATATGCTCTAAATTGCAAACAATCGACACATATGTCAGCAGCATAAATGCAGATATATGTGTACAATTTACCCGGAATGACGGGAGGCATCGGCATGTAATATTACTTAGATATGATGATAATATCAGTGAAGACATGCCCGTGATTTGCCATACTTCCTTCCATGCAGGACGCAGCGCATAGCCTTGCACACCAAATGCGGTGAGATGGACGCAAGGAGGAGTGTCACGTCGAAGAACATTATCGCCTCGTGAAGCACCATTTTGGCTCGCGGGAATTAGTGAGGAGTGGTGATGTCGATTTTACTGACGTCCCAGATGAACCTCAAAGAAGATGTGGGGTTTGTGAGTCATCCGGCTGACTGGGCTGCCGCCGAGGGCTACGATTAGACGAGGTGAAAGGTGGGATTTGTGGATTTGGGGTAATCGCTAGCATCTGGCTGACGCTCTGCCAGTTGATTCTAATTAATGCCATTCGTCAAACCCATACCTACGCTGAGTAAGAAGACCGTTTAACTAACCTGTCCTGCGACGGTGGCTGTAGCGGATATGTTGCGTGGTAGGACAGTCAGCGTTTGAGGCGAGCTTGTGAGCCTGTGGCAGTCCGTTCTCCTGGTCGTCAGTCTGGTTATTCTCTCATGACGCCTTCTGCCAGCTTAAGTATCACCTCCTGCCAATTGCAACGCACGTGACATGGCCACGTCGTGGAGACAGCTTGAGCCCTATCGGCGTTGTGTCATTTGCTGATCCGGATTGTAGGCGGTCAAAGGTCGCACGCACGCACGCACGCACGCAAGCATTCGCGCACCGCGCTCGTCGCACCTTGCCTTGCTGAAATAATTCTCGCCACTGCCTTCCGATCCGCTTCTGCACTCCTCTGTCACAGTAAGGGCTGCTCGACCAATTCTCTGTCTCAGTCTTCTGTTTCCACAGCAATCAACACCTCCTTCATTTCCATGTGCGTACCTCTGGGTACAACCATTCCATTGTGCGGTTAGCTAACAAGGCGCACTATCAAAAATGCATGCTCCATCCCCTAGCCATTATTATCATTATTATTATTATTCACTTGTGTCCCGCAGGGCGCACGAAATTTCTTGCGCCCGACTCAGAAGGCACCGCCGTCTATACCATACCACCATATCTCTCCTCACCAGCATCTACTCGACACCACACAACGCTAGCAGGTGATTGGCACATCTCTCCTCGTAAGCCGCAAGTGTCTCCCGACTCCTTCTCGATGTGGTCCCTCTGGTGCATGTGTGATCCAGGCCGGAGACTGTCACGATGCGTTAAAGGCCGTGATGACTTGTAAGACTGCCAACTACCGATGGAACTCAGGCCTTGCATTCAGCCCAAGGTGCGTTTGTGCACAATGGCCGACCGGTGGACTAAGAGTCAGGCTGGAATGCCTCTTTCGCGACGTGACCTCTGACACTCACACACACATGACATGCATGTCGCGCACCCCCTTGTGTGTGAGATTCTGGTGCTTATGTCTGGGGGGGGGAGGAGGGAGGGGTCAGGTCATGTGTGTTGCACGTCCAGACGAAGTGGCTGGATTTGTCAGTCACTGCGTCCACTCCCACCTGACCAGCTCGGAGTGCGATTGGGACTGAGGGAGTAAGATCATGGTGGTCTCAGCACATATTCCTTTCTATAAACTATCTGACGAGGTTGAAAGTATCATGGTGCGCTAAAAAGCCATGACTTGGAAGGCTGCCTACTGACGGGATACCAGAGGCCTCGCAGCCAGCCCAGTGCGGACTGGCCGACTGATGGGCTGAGAGTGAGGCTGCAATGGCTCCTTCTTAACATGGCCTCTATGGCACTGCGACTGCGTGAGAACCTACTCGGGTGTAGTGGACACGGCCAGTTGCTGACATTCGTCGTGCCAGCCATCTGCGCCCTCTGCACTGCATTCGTCCCGCATGTCACCATGACCTAAATCGTCCTCGCCCTCGTCGGCCGCGAAGATGGTTTCCGCGCGATGCGTCTCACTAGCCTCATGACAGCTCGAATCCGTAGAGTCACTGTGTCCCCTCTAGAATTTTGGCAGCAACTCAGAACTCTACGCTTTACGTATCGGTGCCACGACAAGACAACTCAGTCTAACTGAGGCTCTTCCCCCCCCCTCCCCACCCTCCCACCATTCTCTCAGACGTTTAAACTGTCTTATGCGACGCTCTCACTGATGCTCCTTACACCGAGCTTCTTCGACCCACTCCACATTCTGATCCTCAACGCTACCATGAACTCGTAAAGGAAGAAGGTTTAGGCGACCGCAAGTCCTCTGAACTTCTCCGCAGCAAAGTCCATAAAGGCTTGCCTAATGAGTTGCAATATAGACATGACCGACTAGATCGCCTTCGAGCAATTCAGTATTGGCTAGAATGAGGATGTAATCCAAACACCCAAGTATTTCCGACTGTCAACCTGCTGCAATGGTGTACCGTTTAGAAAGTAATTCGTGGGCTTGGAGTCTCTGCATCTGCTGACTTGAAGAATGTGGTACTTACTTACGTTGGAGGGCATAAGCCAGCGCTTCAACCAGTCCCCGAGCCTGCTTGATATGTGGGGTCAACTTATATCACGCACAGTAAGTTCTTTCCGTCTAATGTCAGCAGTCAAGAGGTAGTGAGAACCGGCTTATTCTGTACTCAGGGCATTTTGTCGCGAGTTGGCTTTTTTCTTGTGGTCAGAGGAAAGCGTCGGCTCAGGAGAGCGGAAGTCGTGATATGAGGTTTTTTGCGTGGACGTCACATGTCCGTGTCAGCATGAGGGAATGTGTCGGTGAGTGCAGGACATGTGATTGGATGGTTAAGGGGCGGAGTCGGAGGTGCATGATGAGAAGGGCGCTCACGGGTAACCAGCGGGGAGTTTCGAAGCGAGTGAGAAACTGTGTGCGCAGACGTGATCCATTGACGGTGAGAAAGAGGCGGCCCAGCACAGGCCCGAGGGATTGCCGTGTGTCAGCGTAATGCCTGTTGTCGCTGTAAAATGGGGGGGGGGGGGAAGAGGGGACACTGGAGCGGATGCCACAGAACTGAGCCCTCTGAAGATCCGGCATGTACATATTTATATTGCATCCAAATTTAAATAATGCTACAGGTCGAAACATCTTGTCTCTTTGGCGTGAATTTGATGTGCCAGCTGGGTCATATGTCCTTCTCCTGCGTGGGCTGGTCAGAGGGCGCTCAGTCAGCCATCCGGGCAGCATCGGAGTTGAATATTGACGGTTAGTCGCATTTTGATTGGCCGGCTCTGCTGGTGACGCATATAGTTCTTTGTCCGGCAATGTGCACATTATGGGTGCTGACATCCACCTCGTGTCAACCGACCTCTTGTCCGACGTCTCGATTTAATGATCTGTATTCCTTACACACTGTTAATGTTAAGGTCGATAGGTATTGAAATAAAATGCGCGATAAATGCAACCAAAATTGTGCCAATTTGTAGTTAATATTTGAATGTGTTGTTGGATTTGGTTTTATTGCTTCCCATGTTTCCCACAGCGTAAACAGGACTGTCAGGTAATCTCAGCCACTGTACCAAGTCTCCTCATTCACAGACCGCCTGACTCGAGCAAGCAACCGAGATGGGGTTGGAGAAGAGAGGGTGATGACTGTCGAAGTCGACTCCGTCTATTAATGTTTTCACTTTAAACGGAAAATGAGCTCTGCATTGATTATTAGGACTGGCAAACAGTTGTTTCTTGACGTTGTGCAAACTGGCGGCATAACACGCCCCCTACTCATGACCTAGGGTCAGACTGCATGCCTCATTTTTGATGTGGCCCTCGGATTACGCTCGGACCCACCGGGCTCCGACGGAAAGACAATGTCCAGATGACTGGAGGTGGGATCGGGCACAGTGGTGGACAAAGCTGCAAACTGTCCGTCTATGCATTCCCTCACGAGACCTGGTCAAGCATCGAGTGGTGATGGTGGTGGATTAGAAGGATGAGGAGGAGGAGGAGGAGGAGGAGGAGGAGGAGGAGGAGGAGTGGGATGAGAATGATGAGTTTTGGTAAAAATTTTCAGGTAGGTAGGAGTGTCCTCATTGATGTTGTCAGTGGTGGTGGCGGCGGCGGCGCAACATACCGAATAAGATAGCCTTCGCCGTATCTATATGTGTGTGTGAGGTATTCATTAAAGACGATGTGAGCGTAACATCACAGTGCAGACAACGTCAACTTCGAGGACTGTGGGCAGAACCTTGCACGAACTGGATGCCGATATCGTCGGTGATGTATAGGGAACATTTGTGTGGACACACATGGAGTATGTGGTACAGGCTTGGCGTCCGTTACTTCGGGAGGGCATAGCTCATCTTGAAGGTGGTGTGCAAGGACGTGCTATATAGCTTGTCCCTGAACTCAAATATTTGACGTACGAATAGCGCCTGACAGCCTTAAACGTTTATCGTCTCCACTATCGACAAGACGTCGGTGAGCTTTTACTCACGTTCCAATTGCTACGGCGAATTGATCTTGATGTGCGGAGCGATTCACTCAGATGGTGCGTCAGCTGCACGACGGTATGATGGCGCGAGTCACGGACAACGGAGCTGTGTCAGAGGCATTGGCAGTGACCAACGGAGTGAAGCAGGGATGCATGCTGGCGCCTACCCTCTTCCGTCTTATGTTCTCTGCCATGCTAATGGACGCCTACCGTGATGAACGCCCCGGGATCCGCATCGCCTACAGGGCGGACGGTCACCTGCTGAACCAACGGCGGATGCACTTCCATTCGCGCGTATCCACAACCACCTTCACGAACTCCTCTTCGCCGACGACTGCGCCCTGAATACCACCTCGGAAGAGGAGATGCAACGGAGCATGGACCTATTCTCCGCCGCCTGCGAGAACTTTGGGCTGGTTATCAACACGCAGAAGACAGTGGTGATGCATCAACCGCCACCCTAATCAGCCACAGCCCCAACGCGCCGCCGCAAATCAGAGTGAACGGAACCCAAGTGCAAGTGGTGGAGAACTTCGCGTACCTCTGCAGTACTCTCTCCCGCAACACCAAGATCGATGACGAAGTCGCCAACAGGATCTCGAAAGCCAGTCAAGCCTTCGGTCGCCTCCAAAGCACAGTTTGGAATCGTCATGGACTTCAACTGAGCACGAAGCTGAAGATGTACAAGTCCGTCATCCTGCTGACGCTAATGTATGGAGCTGAAACTTGGACGGTGTACACAAAGCAGGCACGCCGTCTGAACCACTTCCACCTCAGTTGTCTTCGCCGCATCCTGAGGCTGAACTGGCAGGATCGCATCCCCGACACTGATGTGCTGGAACGGACGGGAATCCTCAGCATCTACGCCATCCTGAGACAAATGCAGCTGCGCTGGAGCGGCCACCTGGTGCGCATGGACGACGAGCGACTACCCAAACGACTCTTCTACGGAGACGTCGCGACGGGTTCTCGTCGTCAAGGAGGCCTCAAGGAGACCGAAATCACAACTTCGCTCTGTACGAAACGGCGACGCACAACCACTTCCAACGTGTTCCCTCTGTCAACGGACACTCCGGGCTCGAATCGGACTTGTCGGACATCTTCGGATCAACTGCGCTTCTCGAACTGCACCAATCATCTTCCCCCTGCCCTCCTCTTCCTCATCCTCTCCGCCACCAACTAATCGTCGCGTTGTCTGTGTGTGTTGTGTGTAGTGGCGGACTGGTGGGCTGGGGATGGGCTGAAACAGCACCTTCCACGGCCCTCTCACGCAAGTGAGAGACAAGC